TGCCACCGCTCACCAACATCGCGGTGATAGGTATTGCTTTCAGTGTGATAGCACCGTTGGTGCTGGTCTTCGTCTCGTTTGCGTTCGCCCTCTACTGGTTCGTCCACCGCTACAACGTCCTCTACGTCTACCAGTACGACCACGAATCTAGCGGGCGCTTCTTCGTGGCCGCGTTCAATCAACTCTTCACCGGCCTGTACGTCATGCAACTGTGCCTGATCGGTCACTTTTTCATGGCGACTGGTGCCGACGGAAGAGCCGCGTGTGTGCCTCACGGCATCACCATGACCGCAGTACTGGGTTTGACGGTGGCGTATCAGCTGTTCGTCAACCGTTCGTTCCATTCGCTCATCAGTTACCTGCCGGTGTTTGAGCACGAACAGGACAATGACGGTGGCAGCACCCGAGGCGGTCCGTCTACCACGAGGGTTGAAGAGAGCATCAGCGACACAATGCAATCGTGCGGCTGCAATCGCGAACCGATCGTGTGGATTCCACGCGATCCGTTGGGTTTCAGCAAAGATGAGATCCGAGATGCGACGAGCAAGGTGAGCCACACCAATGTCAGCGATGAGGGCGCTTGGCTAGACGAAAAAGGCGGAGTGTCAATAGAGAGCTGCCCTCCCGACCAAGAGACGCGTCTTGAGTCGTTGTTTGCTTTGATCGGCAGACGTCGGGAAGCAAATGGGCTTTACGACTCGGACCGCTAAGCGTTGTCAGGCTTCTGTAACGTTGTGGCGCGATGTCGTGTGGCGCGGTGTCGTGTAGCGCGATGTCGTGCGGTTTTTATCTTTGTCCATCTCGGGCCATGGTTGTTTACAAACAGACTGTATTAAATCTACTGTACCAAGTTTAAAGCAAGATATCACGTGCAAGCTCTTTCAGCCGAGTTTGGCAACATACATGATGAGAGAACTCACGTGGACCATATTTCTGTTCGAGAGACCAGAGATGAGAGGACTTCTTTTCGACTTTGTTACAGACAGGGTCATATCTTACATCAATCGAAAGCACAGAATAAGCACAGTGCAGGCACACCAGCGTGATATCCAGCGCCTCGCTGGCGGGAATGCTATTCCCCAGTGAAGGCGGCGGAGGGGCGCCTCCAAGTGAAGTTTCAGGGTCTGAAGCATGCGGGGAAGCCTCCGAGCGAATCACGAGCCTCGCCGACCTTGAATTTTGCGATTTGGGCCTCCGACCTGGCCACCACATACCTTTAGCCCAAGCTTCTCGACTAGGCCACGCAGCATGTCGTCCGTCCTCTCCCTGCCACCCAGCTTCACCATCATGTGCACATCCACGGACGTGTCGCGGCGGGATGGCTGGCGTACCGGGATAATGACGTCGTTGATCAGCAGCTTGCTGTACCCGGGGATCATTGCATCCCTGATGTGGCCCAAAATCCGCCCCGCGTCCGAATCGTCCCAGTCGTGGATGATGCTGTGTAGATGGTACACACGGGCACCCCGCGCCAACGATGTGGCCCAAGATCCGCCCCGCGTCCAAATCGTCCCAGTCGCGGATGATGCTGTGTAGATGGTACACACGGGCACCCCGCGCCAACTTGGGCTGCGCTGTGAAGAAGTTGTGCGCCATGCGCTGGACCTCTGCTGAACAAGTTGCGCGTGCCACTTTGTCAGGAAGGTCTTGCAGGATCAGTTGCTGACCGTGTGCGGGATACTTCCGTCGAAAAAGCTCCAAGTCTTCTCCAAGATTGCCCCCGACATCAACAATGAGCGGTCCCTGACTGTACCCGGCGAGGATGTTCTCTGGAGGGTACAGGTCAGTCCACGGGTCGCGATGGAGACGATAGGCTTTGAGCCACTCGTTGAAGGTGTTCGACATGTCCTGCTGCTCAGGCGCACCGTAAAAATCAAAGGCGGTCAGTCCTTGGCAAGCGAAGGTGCGTTGGAAAAGCCCGTCGCGAGGGCCGGAAGGGGGATCATAGGAGTGACTGCGGAAGTACTCTGGGAGGTTGAGGTACAGCTTCGCCGAGGTATCATAACTATGCTGAGGTTAACCCGCAGACTTCTTCCTGTGAGGATACTGTTCAGTCCGATCAGGCTTACAAGTAGTCGATGCCTGCGCCAGCAGATGTCAGCAAGGCGTCGGAGAAACGAGTCTGCTTGTAGGTGTCGGCGGTGACCTCTTCGACGACGGCGTGTGCGGCAAGATGCTTCAGGATACGGCCTGGGATGGCAAAGGTCAACCGTTGTGCGCCGCCAGTAAGTCTGTCGGTTGATACAACTCACTGAGCACGTCGACTTGCTTGAAGCCGATCATCTTCGCTAGGTCGCGACAGCTCTGTTGCGTATCGCCAGACTCTTTCCAGGACTGAAAGAGCCCAATGTCCAAACACAACTTGACGGAAGCCGTGAGGGCGGGAACGTCGATAACGATTTCCCAAACGCGCTCGAAAGGATCTTGCAGCCTGGTCAGCAGCGCTTGACACGCATTCACGGCTTCGATCCGGTCTCGATTGGTTGCAAAAGACTCTCGGGAGATGGTGCGCAACACCCGGACGGTCTCCATTGTTGGTGCGGTGGTGTGACTTGGACAAAGAATGACCAGATCAGACGTCGCGCGGATAGAACATACGTTATAAGGGTCTTCTTGGGAATGGTTCGAACGTATGTTACGGAGCTACGTAATATTACAGCACTATGCAAATCGAGATACGGGCTTCCAGGGTGGAGCTTGACGAGCAAATCCCGGGAAACGTGGGACTGCCTGTCGTCAAAGCACTGTCTCCGGCAGCGACAAGGGCCTGCAAAAGGGTTGCGCAAAGATCTGTTTGTGGCAGGATATTGTAACAGTCCTGAGCATAAGTCATACCTAAACCCATCTCTCGAAGAACTCCTGGTTCCCACGACGAAAGTTCTTGTTGATGCCTTCTCATGGCACGATCTGGCGATACCAACAACTTTGCTTTGGAGGTCGTCATTCCTCGAGACCTGCACACGCCCCACTGCAGTCCGCATCAGGAGTAGGACTGAGCTCGTCGTGCGTTAGCTTTCTCGCTTTGCGGTGATTGAAGGCTTGTGTCGGAAGCTGTTGAGATGAAGCCCTCCGCTTTCGGTCATCCAATTTGGGGAGCTCTGGCAAACGATCGCAAACACACCGCTCACGTTCTGAGGGGCCCAAGGAGAACGCGTCGAACAGGCCCTGTTGCTTGCAGAACCACGACATTGTCTGAGGAAAGCCCGATATTGGGTACTTCACGTCTTTATCGAGCTTGATGTAGATGGCGTGGGGGCTGTCTCGGTCACGGACGTGGAACTGGACATGCTGAGCGAACATCCTGCAACTGGGACAGATCGCGTCTGCCAAGCACACCTCGCCCAGTTCGTCCTCTTCGCTCACAAACTCTACAGACGGATAGTTCAAGGAAAGAAGCAAGTCAAGGACGAGACCGGGATCACCTCTGATGCGAATGGTTCCTTCGCAGAGATACGTGGCGGCCCGACCGTGCTTTGG